AATCTACAGATATCACAAACATCATATTCACCTGAGTACACAACACCAAAACAGAGAAAAACATATTACTTGATTACATTGGTAACGAAGGAACTAGATTCTGTTCGGAAATATCATTTACTGGAACCGACCTGGTGCGGTGTGGTTATTCAGAATTGTATACATAAAAACAGATTTTAGATAATTTCGCCTTAAACCCAGATTTTTCCAACCCAGAAGTAAATCAACCGACTGAACATCGTAAGTCGCACAAGAAATTACTCTTGCAGCCCGATTTTGAAATTTCTGCAACCTGTCTTTGAGGCCTATTCCACAGTTGTCCCTGAGGGGGCTGCAGTAATCAAAGAGGGTTGTACAATAGTATTGTACATCAACTTTAGTTTCGCAGACGATACATAGGGGCTAATACGTCTTATGTCATCAGTTCTTAGAGTTTGTGCGCCCATTGCAAATTTACAACTAAGTTTGGTAGGAATGGAATACAGTCGAACCCCTATAAGCGGACACCTCTCTTAAGCGGACACCTCTTTTAAGCGGACACATATCTCAAGTCCCATTTGGTTTCTTTAATAAAAAACAATTATCATAACCCCTATTAAGCGGACACCCCTCTTTAACGGACGCGGACACCTTTCTGGAGGTCGCAATGGGCAAATCAACCTCTCTTAAGCGGACAGATGACAGATTGTCTGATAAAACGTATTCAATATTCGACAGTAAATAACAATTGAGATTAATTTACAAGGCACATTGACAGTGACACACCATGCAACTTGGCGCGAAGACAGGCGGTGTGCGCATAACGACCGCAAAGGGTTCTGGATGACACATTTTCAACATGGCGGAAAACTTATTGAAGAATGCTCATTTTCGTTGCTATTTTGCTATCATCTCAAAAGGTAAATATGTTCCATTTTTATATCTTAAGCGACCTTTGTCTGCTTAAATGACAATTGCGTTTCATATTGTGCATTTGGTGCCTTATGTTGCACGTTTTTTCGCTATGAAATTTGGCAACGTTCTTGGCTAGAAATATGAGCTCGTACTTAAAGCAATTTTAGCAATCGAATTAGTTGCATTTAGTTGTTTCAATGACCATAAACTGAAAATACAAGCTTTGTTGTACAGCTAAGTATAAACGCGCCCCAACGCGCCCCTTCAGATGACTACTTTTTCCCTTTCTAAACATACGTATTTTTTCTTAGGTTGAAACTTGACTATGACATCTAAGAGGCCTTCGGTCGCGGAAGGCAACACGCCTGGTAAGCCGCCTTCTAAGCGAACTGTGCAAGGCACATCGAGAAGAAGCCTTTTTGGTTCAGAAAGTGATGATGTATCCCAACAAAAGTGTTCTAATGTGAAAGATTGGACAGAGGAAGAGGAATCAGCCCTGGTGCAATACATTTGCTTGTTTTGGAAGAATGCCCATACTAATAAATGGCCAACAACAAAAGACATGGAGTTCTGGAATGCGTGTGCAGATGCTGTTAATAACACGTGCAACTCAACAAGAACAGGTTTGTCATGTAACCTATGTCTAATTTTATATGTTAGCTGTACTTAATTAAAAGCGAGTGTATAAACTGTAATCACTGTAACTTTCATCCCAGCAACCAGCCAGCCCACTTATGAGTATTTATATGGGGAAATTTTCATCCCGATAAGCGATATCTTGCCTCTTTCAAGCGAGATTGTGGCCCAGCCAGCCTGCTTGTTCATATAAATGCACAGTGAATTTTACTATAAAAATAAATACACAGCAAGATCTTGCTTAATTGGCTGTCTCCCTGGCATAAACAGCCCTTAAGTATATTAAAATACAATAAATTTTTAACAGCATTTTTTTCCAAGGTGGATCCTGTCGTACAAGAGTAAACAAACACTTGGCAAAAAGGTATAACACATTAACAGAGGCAGAGGAATACTTAAACATTGACTATATGACAAACAATTTTGGTTCTACCAGTACTGGCCAGAAACCAACAACACCACAACAACAACAAGCAACATCGATTGATGATCTGTTATCCCCTGTGTTTAAGTCCTCACCAATTCCCAAAGAACAGACTACAGTTCCTAATTATGTTGGTGATATTGTCCAAGAGTTTATCAAATGCTTCAAAGGCCCAATGTCATCAAGGTTAAAATTACAAGTCATGGACTATATGTTTAAATCAACAATAGTGGACTTTGGTGGTATGGATTTCTTAAACTATGTTTGTCCAGACTTTCTGAACATATGTTTCAGTGCAATGGAGACATTACATAAGGAGAATAAGAATAATCTTATTCTAGAGTTGTGCAAGTGCTTTGAAAGAACCGGTTGTAAAAGTCAGTCAAGAATGCCATTAGATAGAATGCCCTTTGGCCTTCTTGATTACAACATTCGGTTTTTTGCATCAGATCGAACAAATAAATTGGGGTATGAAGAACATTATGCTTCATGGCTTGATACAATGTTCTCCCAGTTTGGTCACAAATGGTTGTGCCTTCATAGAGGCCCAGCATGGCAATATGAAGTGGAAGATAATGTTATCGAAGTTGCTGACAGAAACTGTTCAAAGTCACTTGTGGAAAAAGCACTTGAGCAAAGTGGTATCGACTTAAGTATTGATGATGACTTGTGTGCTACCAGTAATGAGAATTGGTTTGAACAAGCAGCCGTAAATAGCGATGTGTCGTTTGACATTTTGGAAAGTAGTTTGGCAGATCTTACACTTTGCAGTGATGATATTGGTTTATCTGCAGATTATTCCACAGTTGTTGATGTGACTTGCATGATGGGTCACTCTAATTCAACAGAAAGCACTCCAACATTTGCCTCTGCAACCAAGCAGCTGATAAGCCTACCGCATTTGTGGACTCATGCAACAAATGATGACCAGAATGAATTAATGCTTGGGAATGCTGTGCCAACTCAAATGGAAAAATACCATGGTGTTCAACCAATGAAATCCAAAGCTGTGGTTCGTAATCCTGCCATTTTTGATCCATTAAAAGTAAGTTAATTGTTGCTTCAGTATATGATGAACCTCGGTTTGGTTTTTATCATTCTCAAAAGAAGAACAATTTAAAATATTAGGCTCATTAAATTGTAATATAACTTAAAAAAACAACTTAGAATTCCTTAGATCCCATAGTCTGGAAAGGGGTCTTATCCCCACCTTTTTGTCAATGTCCCCATTTTTCAAAACTTTCCAACCCCTCCCTGAATGACAACTATTTCGGAGAGCAAAATTTGACAGGTTAACCATTAATGCTTGCAAATAGCACAAAATTATTAAGACTGTGCACCAAGTTTAGAATGCTATCAAATTCAAACGTGCCAAAATGTTTGGGCTCTGTAAGATCATGCAGTTTGGTAGATCAACCCAACCCTTTTCAGTACCCCTTGCATTATTACATTACCCCTCCCTCCCTCCCATTTTTACTTTTCAGTACCCCTCCAATTAGGGGTGTACGTTTTATACCCCCCCCCCTTGTCCTTTTTATAAACGGTGATTGCTAGATAGTATACTTCAAAATAAGGTTTCCGTTTTTATTAACGTAGAAAAAACTATCCTTTTTAGAACGCAAAACTAAACCCTAATACTAACCCTACCCCTAACCTTAACCTAACCCTAACTTATTTTAAAAATTGATATAAAAACGGAAACCTTATTTTGAAGTATACTATCTAGCAATTGCCTTTTATAAACACTTTTTCTCTTTTCATCTTCAGAGCAAGGTAAATGTTGCTAGTTTGGGAGTACGAGCTATTCAAAAACGCATCCAATCATCTGGATTTTCAAGAACGGTTGATATTCAAGTGAGTCTGGCAAACATTCTTTCCAATTTAACATGACAACTGTCAACTAATTTCACAGTAAGATGTAAATTTTGTGGTTTACATTTTCCACTTCATAATTTTGCAGAAAGAGGTGCAGCTTTATTGCACATACTGTAAACATTATCTTCATTATACTGTAGATGCAAACATTGAAGCAAGCCCAGAAAAGTATCTGTGATGGTCGATGGTGGATCAAAGCCGACGCCTGTGATGTTCAAAAGGGCCTGCGGGAAAGTATGCGTGGGATTTGGGAAGGGGATGAAGATTTTGGAGATGGCTCGTTACAAGAAATGTATGGTGAATACAAATTAAGAAAATGTTTAGTGGATGGTCTAGGAACAGGCAAAAGGTTGGGATCGTTGCCCAGCGACTTGGATAAGGTGATGAAGGAGGTCTGTGATGATTTCGAGTTCCTAACAAAAGGAAGTGAAGACTCGAATAAAATATATAACCAAGTATTGGAAAAAGGAAATTCCAATGAGAAGAAAATAATGGAATTGGCCTGGGATGGTGTGGAGTTTCAGGAACTTTTGAAGATGGCAAAAGGGTTAAAGATCGAAATTGAAAGTATTGTAGCAAACAACAGAAATGGTGTGAAATTTGATTTGGTTTCATTTAAATTGAAGATCAGAAAATACCTGAAGGATCTGTTTTTGAAGAAGCGAGTTCCAGCTAAGTACCTCTTAGTCTTCATGATTGCAGATGAGATGCGAAACCGAAAACCATATGCCGTTCCAGTTCAGTTCTTACCCTACAAGTCAATAACTGACTCTAAATTGGTTGAGCTGGAAACCAAATTACAGAATGTTATGGAAGAAAATGGAATGACAGTTGTTGGTATGTTGTCGAAGTCTACGTTTTTCCTTTTTCACAGGCATTGAATATTATTCTCTCACTACTCAGTCAATACTTTTGAACTTCGTCCTCTTGACACATTGATCGTGAGTTTTAATTTAGCACTAAGGCGCCCCTTCCATTATTTTCCTCTGTCCAATACCCAATGGATGATACCAGCTATCAACTAATTTTTCATCTAGACAAGAAAGACAAAATCTATCATTATAGCTCAAACGAGCATCCTAAAATTAGTAAAATTGCGAAATTTGGTTGTGAAAGGTTGTAAAATGCGAAAAATATAGCCTTGTGAAATTAGCAAATTTCGAGTATTTTAGTACGGCTCAAAAGTAAGCTATCATTATAGAATTTGTCTTCTCTGGATCAAAATTTAGTCTATACCGGTAGGAGTATAGCTGGAATCATCCATTAGCTCAGTCAGTGCGTATTTTACTCATGCAAGGGTGTGGATTATGGTGTTTCGTAAATTAAAAACATATTCAATAAGTTATGTTATCCATACTTTTTTCAGGCTTTACAACTGATGGAGAGTTTAATTCTGTTCGAACATCAGGAAAAAGTCGACCAATTTCCATTGTTGGTGTTATTCAGGAAGCTAGAAACAAAGCTCGAAGTATAGGGGAAAAAAAGATGACTTCATATTTCAAGCTGGACGGCCAAGATAAAAACAGTACGAGTAAACTTTGGACAATGAAAAGACTGGGTAGAAAGAAACCGAGGTTAAAATTAGGTGAAACTATTCGTTTCCTATCCAATCGTGCAAATTGTGGGAAGAATCAATATTATAATTTCTGTAATATTATTTCCTGTTCAATTTTTGCAACAGGAAATCCACTACAAAGTCACCCAGCTGTGCCTATCGAAGATCTACTTTGGCTACGTGATTATATGGACAACGGGACGGAAAAGAAAACATTTGCTGATGCTATATACATCTTACGAAGAAAACTTTTCCCGTTCATGCACAATCCCCATCAATGGGTCGAAGGTATAACTAATTTGAAATAGGTATAAAACAAAATTCCAAACTGCAAAAAAAGCAGCTTTTTCACTTTCCTTTTATATAATATATAATGTAGTGAATATGAAAACAGTGAAAAGGAGAAAGCACATAAACATCACATGATTGGAAAAAGGCAATTTACATTACGCAGATAAACAGGTCTGTTTACTTCATCATTTGAAACTCTATTTCTCTTAATATACTTTCAGGAAGGACAGAAAAAACTGTTGAGGTGCTGAAATCCATCATGGCCATCTACCTATTCCGTTCCAGTATCCAGAATCTAAAACACCATGAAACCGATCCAGCCGATTTCGGTACGTTTCTGTACCAACCAGAAAAGTGTACATCCAGTGGCAGTGAGAGAATTCATCACCGAGAAGATCACAATCACCTGCTGAAACGAGTGGTGAACTGCTTAAGAGATGGTCGTATTCCTGGCGTAGATTTACGGCACTTAAGAGAAGCACTGCATGACCCATCCACAGGACTGACATACGAGGCTCTGACTGGCAAAAACAAGCAATCTGTACCAGATTGTGAACGATTGATCAGCCGTGGTGTAATTTCATTCCTGGAAAAGAAAGGCTACACTGCTACTGCCAGAGTTATCCAAATTTTTCATAATTGGCATAAAGCCGTAGACGGAAGAGGCTTATCTGAAACAGTACGCTCCATGTACTGTGAAGAAATGAAAGAGTGGCTGTTAAGTGACTGGATGCCATGGTTTAAGGACATGCCAGATTATAGTTCAATTGATGTCAACAGGTAAGTGTATGTATATATAAACTAGTATTTTTAAGATTTCTTTTCCAATTCAAGGTGATTCTACAAACAATAAAATTTGCGGTAACCACCGAGTATTTTAATAAAATATAGTACAATGGAAACTCCGAAAAATTTCATTATCATAATTCTTCGTTTCAACTTTCAACTACTCTTCAGTCATCTTCGGAAATTATGATTCAGTTAGACGGATTTTGAGATACTCGATACCCCTGACGTTACATGTGTGATAGATGGTTAAAGAACACTAATGGAAATAATATTAATTTTTATAGACCTATCAAAGGCATATGTGGTCTTACAAGGGAAATTGTTGTTGGCTTGGTCGCCAATTTGGAAAGTAGGGAGATTCGGAGACAGGAGTATAAAGCGAGAGATCTTCCTCCAGAACACCCCAGAGCGTCTTCAAGTGATGATTGTGAAAGTTTGTTTTCGGTTATGCACGAATTACTTGGAAATATCTTCGATTTGAAACAGTTTCATGATTGCCAACCCAAGATTTTGAACGAATTTACAAAGCGAATAAATCCTGACTTGAAGTTTTTCTACTGGACCGGTGCAAAAGAACGATTTCGAGCGTTTGAGCTACCATCTTTTAACAAGCCATCCGGTGACGGTGTATTAGAAAGGCTTGACGAAGTAAATGTTTCCAAGAGAGGAGACCCGGGAATATTTGTATCTAACCGAGCATCCTTGCCTCAAAAAGGAGAACTAACTGCAAGAGCAAAATTTCACAAAGCTCCTGTAGCATTACCACCACACCAAATTTAAATACATGTGACATAGATACTGCACTGGGATTGATAATTAGCCTTTCTCACGCTTGGTTTATCCGCCATTTTGGGGATACTGCCTTTTCCAAGTCTAAGCACCATGAAATTAGACATTTTATAACTGTAGTTTGTGTACAGTATAATGGTAGATTTATAGTTATGACTTAGTCTAAGACTATCTGGATTTTATGACATGGGAAGAAAGCACCCAAAAAATGGTGGATATTGCTGTCTGTGAGAAAGACTAACACACCCTTTCGGAATCTATCCCAATGTCTTACTCACAAGAACGAGGCTCTATAATGAAGGTGATGCACTTTCTGGAAGGGTCTATTGTACATACATGTGTAAACATTTTCTGGACTTTGAGTCATTCTCATGGCTCATGGCATAATGCTAATTTCTATTTTGTAAATGATATGTAAATAGATAGTAAATGTTGCCATTCTCCTTTAACCCATTAAGCGCCAGCGCTCTCCCCTTGACGAGTAAAATCGTCTGGCGTTAGACAGAGTAAAATACTAAAGTAGGGTGCATCAGGGTGCAATGCGACTCAATGGGTTAAAATGCCCATTCACACGTGTGATTTTGGTGGCAATTTAAGCTGCGATTTAAGCATAAAGTTTCACGTTGTCAATATTTATTTATATTCATGTGACTTTTTTACTGGCATTCACAACTCCTTCATCCCACAAACCGTTCTTGGTGATTTCAACTGTCAGATAAAAACCCATTCTGAGATACGTTGTACAGAAATGAATGCGCTTCACAGAAACATCGAGTTCTGATGTTCCTAGTAATGGATGTAAATATTTGGTTAATTCACTAGCAATATACCCAACAAGGATATATTCATAATTTGTCATGATGTATACTCCAATAGCATTCTTGTCATGACTGTTTTCAGGCTGTGCTTCAAGTTTAACAAAAACTGGTCTGTTGAAATCGTATAAATACTCGTATGCCTCCTCTAAGGCTCTTTGTCTTGACATATCATAACAGCTTCCTAGAACTTTAAATGGTAAGCTGTGAGGCCCTTGTATTTCAGCTGAAACAGTTGCATCATTACCACTTCCATCAGGTAAATTACCTGTCGATACTTTGACTGCTGAACTCCTACATAGTTCCCACAGAACCAAGTAGGATTCATTGTCGATGGTGATAGAGCAAGATGAAGTACAAACATAATGACCACATGTGCTGATATTTAATGGTCCTTCATCTTTGATCAATCCCTTGTATTCTTTCCCTCCACGAATAAACCTAACCTTTTTCAGTTTAACTGTAAGCACTGGGAATGATGGGATTCTATATAAGAATGGTGTGGGATCTATATTGATTATTGACACTTCCAGTCTTTCATTCTCTAAAACAGAGGAAAATCAAAATAAAATGTACTCCTGATTAAATAATAAATGAAACACCCTTGCCCCTTACAAGTAACTTTGTTTGGCATTAGATTTACAATAAAATAATAAAGTAGTGCACATTTCAGCTTAATTGGAGGGTAACAAGAGATATTGGAAGATAGTTTGGTTAACCATTACTGCACAATACCCTTCTGAAGTACAACCATTTTGTGTTTAGGTGTTAGACAAGTTCAATACAGAGTGCATTGCAGAATAACACAACATGATTTGTTCTTAAAATGATTCAAATCCATTGGCAATGTATAAAACCAAACTATTTTCAAGGTGAATTACATGAAAACATACCATCTGTTTTACTGGAAGTTTCCTGGTGATCATCGGCGTTGGTATTATTAACAGGCACCTAAAATTTAATTAAGTTCATTTAATTAAATCCTGTATAGTAAGATTATGCACATGTTATAATTATTAAATTTGTGGTTTCGAGTAAAATTGTCTGGCATTAGACAGAGTAATATACTAAAGTAGGTTGCATTGGGGCACTTTGCTGTTTAATGGATTTAAGAAGGAAATACCTGTCGTAATACTGGGTAACTGTTCACTTTCACACCACTTTTTGGATCAACATTACCAGAGGCCAAGTTAACAGAAAACGTGTCCTCTAGCAATCTGCTTCTTCGTCAAGAATTCAAATTTTATAGAACATTGATGGTAAAAATTTACTACTAATAAAATAACATTAATTCATTAATGCTTCCAACTTAATTTCTTTAAATTAATCTGTGTAACACCAGACAGATGATTATACTCATGGATAAGCTCTACAGTAGTGCATTCATGGATTAATTAATATCTTCCAAATGTAAATTGATTGACAATTTTACAAATAAATAGTCATGTGTTGTATCAGATATCATAAGCCTTAGCTCTTGTTTACAGCTTGATATGATACACGATAGCCAACTACAAATAGATGATAAGATGTCGAGGAATTGCTTAACCAATTAAGTTGCAGAGCTTCCCATTAACAAGTAAAATCATCTGGCATTAGTCAAGTAAAAAAATAAGTAGGCCCCACTGGGGCTCAATGGGATATTATTGGTTAATTAAAATTAAGTGGTAACTTTTAGTTGAAGGATACATTCCACAGAAATATTGCAGCTCATCTGAAAATTGTTTCCCCCACTCAATCAGAGGAACACATTTTATTGTGTTGATGTCAAAAACAGTTTGATGATTGAACACAGCCTCGGCTTTAAAAAATTGTTCTTTGTAATCTTTTGGTGCTCCCCTTTGAGTCAGATTTTCAAACAAATGATTTCCAGAAACCAAGGCATAGGACGTGTGGATTCCAACTCCTTTGATATTGTCGAGATAATCACATCGGCACCACAGCCAGCAGAGCACCCCCCCCCCCTACCAGATCATGCTGGATCCATCCCTGAATTATTATATTGAAAAATACCCAATGGCAAAGGTGTCTACCTCTTTACAACCATAGGCTAGTAAATGCGAATCTTCGGTAATAGCAAAATCTGCAAGACCATGTTTCAAAATAAACGCTATCTGAGCGTCAGCTTCATATGGCGATACAATGTAGCGAATATTATCTTTTAAACATATCTAAACATATAAACCATGGATATAATTATTAATAGTTCTTGCCAACTTTTTTTACAGTAAGGGAAGTAGATAATATAAGCATATAAAAGTAAAATAATGCTTACATCTATGCATGTTGAAATATCCTGAAATGAAATTGCAATTCCTTGGCTACGAAGTTTATTGCATTCGTCAGGCTGTGTGGCTACATCGTTTGCTCTTCTCAAAGCCTCCTCTCTCGTTCTAGTCCAGACAAAATACATTTAGTCGTATTCATATTGTATCACAATATATAAGCAAAAAAATAAATAATAATTTAGGTTATTTAACTCACTTTTGCCTTTTTGCTGCTTCGTTCGCCTTTGCAGGCAGAGGTGAACCATCGAAAACAATAAATGGAGTCACTCCAGCGCTTTTAACCAAATTTAAATGTTTTCGGAAAATACTTTCTAACCTTAAAGGGAAAAACATGAATATTAATGATTACAATGAATAAATGATGCCAAATGTCAGCGCAAAATTTTGAAAATTATGTTAGTGACTACAAATAGACAAGTCAAAGCTAGTTACCTATCTCGATTTCCACATCCAGACACAGAAATTGCTAACGCACGATGAAGCCAGCAAGAAGCGTCGATCGCTGCTGTTTTCCCAGCGAAATCCGCTAGATTTGTGTCTTTGCCATATTGTTTTAAAAAGGGAAACAAATTCTTAATGCCCATTTGTGTTTATTTACATATGTTCACCCGACCACGACTTGTCGCATAATGAATAATTTTCATTTTCCCCCCATCATCCTTTGCGGTCGTTATGCGCACACCGCCTGTATAGGATCCTATAGGAAATGGCATTTCCTATAGGAATTCCTATAGGATTTTTTTGTAAGGGTATGCCCAAGCAAATTTTTATAGCGTTTCATTATTTTGTAATTTATACCCTACAAGATGAAAACTAATTTGAATATAAATGTGTACCAATCCAGGAATCAAAAAATATTTCTCCATTTATGTTGGGTTATTGAATTATTGCCCTTCAGATGTTGGGTGTCATGAAGAAACAAAATGTCATAGACTTAAATTTACACAAACCAAGAATTCTCACCCAAAAATCTAAGACATCTAATGATATATTTAAGTGTGGGAGCTCATTTAAAATAGAATTGATTAATCATTTATCATTTTAACCCACTGCCAAATTTCAAGGTTTTTTATAACATTGATCTTGAGATATGGGTATTTTTGTAAAAGCAGTGACAGAAGTTGACAGTAACTAAAATTCGCCATTTTCCTTGCAACTTGGGGAGTTCCAATGTTGCAACAGTCTGCAACTTAATGAGTTAAAGAAAAAAGGACTAGGATGTTGTGCTGAGCCTCCCAGAGAAGTAGTAAGAAAATTTTTCGACAATAGTTCTGAAGAGATCACGGATGCCGATATTAAGAACTTGGCGAAAAACACTTTGCTGAGCGAGTCCGATGTTAGTTTTTGGATTGAGCATCTTAAGAATATTAAACTAAGAAGGAAACGAGGAGCAAAAAAGGCGGCAGAAACAAGGAAAAGAAAACAAGCACAAAGAAACAAAGGTAAGCGCGCAGTGGTAAATTGTATCACAGCGCCGTAAGTTCGATTCCTGCCAGCTAGGGCTAGGACCTGTTATTGCATTTTTCGCAGCTGTGCGTGGTTAGGTCTAAAAATGTATATAATTTTCTACTCGATCTTTTCCATTTACAAAACCCATCAAATTGTATCACACCCTTTCGATATTACGTCACTTAAACTTTTTTTGGCCTGTAAGCATCTCTTTTCATTTGTAAAAGACGTAAGGCTATTGGCCAACAACCCATGAGAACGAGTAATCCAGGCTAAGTGACGTAAATGTCAAAACGGTGTATAGTTTCATGCATTTATGTATTGCAGATACATGGCATATGAAATAAGTGGTGATTGAAACTTATTTTGCTGAGCTTTCGATCCATTAAGTTGGATCGTCGTTGATAATAAAAGAGTTTGGGCATTCCAAATTGTTTCAAATGTACATTTGATTTTTTTTTACGTTTTCAGAGAGTATAGCTGAAAAGGATTTATCGGGAGACGTTGATTCATGAGCAGAAAATGATTCATCGGGAGACCTTGATTCACAAGTGGAAAAAGATTCACGAGCAGAATTGCACTGCATCTGTAATGAAGCAGATGACGGAAGGTATGATCTTCATAATAACAGATCAACTAGCCATACTATAAACCCTTTCCTACTTGTTTAATATGCTGTTTTGTTTGATTGTTTTGTAACTCTTTTAGAGCACCATTGTTTGTAAACTAGTGTTAGCCCCCAATTCAGTTAGAATAGATTATCAAACTTAAACTCTGCTGAACACCTCTCCCTTTGTTTTCTCTCATTCTTAGGTTCATGATATGTTGTGACAGTTGCGATGTCTGGTTCCATGGCAATTGTATTAACCTCACGGAGCAAGAGGTAGAACTACTGGAAAACTTTTATTGTACAAATTGTACCACTTAGCATGTTTTGACCCCAAATGTTTAAAGTTCGCTTTTTTGAGGTTTCATGCATTTCGATGTAATTTAATATTATAAAAGTTGGTTTCATCTTAGCGAAAATTATCGCGTGATCTACTATCTATTGCCGTCAAGTTATCGACACACGTCACACAATGACCAGGTAGCATCATAACGCGGGGTACAAGGCTGGTTATATTAATCGGCCCCTAAAATGCATATCAAAGATATCATACTTGTCTCTCACTTTTAAGACTAGAGGGTCACTAGCAATTTTAATATTGTTGTGTTTTACAGTTCAAAATAAAGGTATAAGACAGTATAATCTATGTTCATTTTGTGTATGTTATACCGTATTAAATTATAGCATAAATATGTAAAATGTTTAGTATTTTCTTCAAATCCAGTGTCAAAATACCAATGATTAGATTTTATCTTTTGGATTATCGAATGATTATGTGTATCATGAGATTTTATAAGTAGGCCTTTTTATTAGCTTAAAAGACGCTGGGGGGGGGGGGATTCACGACAGGTAAGGAAATTACCAGGGGCTTTGATCTCTTATGTTCCTCCACCGCCCGTGAAATTCATTAAAATTGAATCCCCACCTTGGACAATCCCCGTGGTCAGCCCGGGGGTTGACCCCTTGGGGAAGCCAATGACAAGTGCATTACGAAACAGTTTGTTCTACTTTCAAAATCATTCTAAGCATTTATACTCTGAGATCTGAAAGTTTGGGATAATTTTGTTAGGGAAATTTTGTGTTACAATGCGTTTTTCAGCCAAGGCCTTACTTTACCCTACTTAAACAAAATTCACTAATTTTAACATGTTATCTCAATGTAAATTTGGTTTGACTGAAAGTAGATCAAAGATCTAGCCACCAAAATACTTGTCTATATACCCGTTGTATAAGTGGCTGAGATTTCATGAGTGTTAGACTAAATCTCAGTCATTCAAGGTGGCTTGACATTGTTTTACTAAACTAACTAGCAAGTTATAATCACAATGACCAATGAAAACACTTCTCAAATGCTTATTATTATTACTAAACAGTTTGTTTCACTTTTAAAATCATACTGAGCATTTATACTCTAATAGTTGAAAGTTTGGTACAATTTTGTTAGGCACTTTTTGTGTTAGCTCGAGTTTCTCAGCTGAGGTCTTACTTTATTGTACTGTATTTCACTAATTAAATTCACTAATTTTAACATGTCATCGCAATATAAATTTGGTTTCACTGAAAGTAGATCAAAGATCTAGCCACTAGAATACTTGTGTATACCTGTTGTATAAGTTGCTGAGATTTCATAAGTGTTTGACTAAATCTCAGTCATTCAAGGTAGCTTCACATTGTTTTACTCGTTACTACGTTAGGTATTAAATACGGTTTAAAAATGTCTTAATTTTGCTTACGTTTGCTATATTTAGCAGTTCTCACAACTCTCGTGACATAAAACTGACATTTAAGTCTTAGATTATATTTTGGTATAAAGTCACATAATTTTGAAAACGGGTGTAATGTGTAGTTTTATACGTTTTTTTCACAGTCTGCATTTTATACCAAGTCTGCAATTTCAGTCTGCAATTTATACCTATTCTGCATTTTGGACTTGGTCTGCAGATTATACTGACCAGTTTCTCAGCTGAAGTCTTACTTTACTGTACTGTACTTAAGCAAAATTGACTAATTTTAACATGTCATCGGAATATAAATTTTGTTTCACTGAAAGTAGATCAAAGATCTAGCCACCAAAATACTTGTCTATACCTGTTGTATAAGTTGCTGAGATTTCATGAGTGTTTGTCTAAATCTCAGGCATTCAAGGTGGCTTCACATTGTTTTACTAAACTAATTAGCAACTTATAATCATAATAAACCAATGAAAACACTTCTCAAAGGCTGACTATTGTTACTAAACAGTTTGTTTCACTTTTAAAATCATACTGAGCATTTATACTCTAATAGTTGAAAGTTTGGTACAATTTTGTTAGGCACTTTTTGTGTTAGCTCGAGTTTCTCAGCTGAGGTCTTACTTTATTGTACTGTATTTCACTAATTAAATTCACTAATTTTAACATGTCATCGCAATATAAATTTGGTTTCACTGAAAGTAGATCAAAGATCTAGCCACTAGAATACTTGTGTATACCTGTTGTATAAGTTGCTGAGATTTCATAAGTGTTTGACTAAATCTCAGTCATTCAAGGTAGCTTCACATTGTTTTACTCGTTACTACGTTAGGTATTAAATACGGTTTAAAAATGTCTTAATTTTGCTTACGTTTGCTATATTTAGCAGTTCTCACAACTCTCGTGACATAAAACTGACATTTAAGTCTTAGATTATATTTTGGTATAAAGTCACATAATTTTGAAAACGGGTGTAATGTGTAGTTTTATACGTTTTTTTCACAGTCTGCATTTTATACCAAGTCTGCAATTTCAGTCTGCAATTTATACCTATTCTGCATTTTGGACTTGGTCTGCAGATTATACTGACCAGTTTCTCAGCTGAAGTCTTACTTTACTGTACTGTACTTAAGCAAAATTGACTAATTTTAACATGTCATCGGAATATAAATTTTGTTTCACTGAAAGTAGATCAAAGATCTAGCCACCAAAATACTTGTCTATACCTGTTGTATAAGTTGCTGAGATTTCATGAGTGTTTGTCTAAATCTCAGGCATTCAAGGTGGCTTCACATTGTTTTACTAAACTAATTAGCAACTTATAATCATAATAAACCAATGAAAACACTTCTCAAAGGCTGACTATTGTTACTAAACAGTTTGTTTCACTTTTAAAATCATTCTAAGCATTTGTACTATAATATTTGAAAGTTTGGTACAATTTTGTTAGACAGTTTTTGTGTTAGCTCGAGTTTCTCAGCTGAGGTCTTACTTTATTGTACTGTATTTCACTAATTAAATTCACTAATTTTAACATGTCATCGCAATATAAATTTGGTTTCACTGAAAGTAGATCAAAGATCTAGCCACTAGAATACTTGTGTATACCTGTTGTATAAGTTGCTGAGATTACTATAATATTTGAAAGTTTGTTTAATTTTGTTAGACAGTTTTTGTGTTAGTATGAGTTTCTCAGCTGACGTCTTACTTTACTCTATTTAAGCAAAAATTCACTAATTTTAACATGTCATCTCAGTGTAAATTTGGTTACACTGAAAGTAGATCAAAGATCTAGCCACCAAAATACTTGTCTATACCTGTTGTATAAGTTGCTGAGATTTCATGAGTGTTTGATTAAATCTCAGCCATTGAAGGTGGCTTGACGTTGTTTAACTAAACCAATTAGCAAGTTATTATCATAGTAAACCAATGAAAACACTTCTCAAAGACTGAGTATTGTTACTAAACAGTTTGTTTCACTTTTAAAATTATTCTGAACATTTATACTCTAATAGGTGAAAGTTTGGTATGATTTTGTTAGAATAGATTATTAGTATGGTACTTTGTAAGCTGTATTTGAATTAATCCTTAGATATTCACAATGCCTTGAGATATTTGTGTATGTCTGTGTATGTGTACATTGTGTATGACTTATGTGTGTATGCAAGGGTAATGTTAATATCCAATTTATACCTTTCAGTTAATTGGAGTGCAAATGGAGCCTGAATGTGTTGCAGAAGAGATGGAATGTATAAATAGTGGAAATGGTCAAGAAGAGACGGACGGTGGAAATGGCCAAGATGAGATGGAATGTATGGATGGTGGAAATGTTCAAGAAGAAATGGATGGTGGAAATGGTCAAGAAGAGGTGGATGCTGTGGATGGTGGAAAGACGGGGGGAAAAGGCCGCAGAGCAAAGCACAAGTGCTCATACACTGCTTGCAATGCCAGTGTCATCCACCTTCCCAGGCACATGAAGCAGGTGCATGGATGGAATAAAACTGACTCATCTGGTGTTCTTGGAACATTTGACTTGTGGAAAGGAAAGCCATCGGTCAAGAAGAGAGAACACCTGAGGAAAGTATGCCCAAAAATTAAATGTGGTGCCATTGTTAGGTGGATACATAACCATCTTGCGCAAGTGCACAAAATGAAAAGAGGAAGTCCTCAATACTTGAAGTTGGTGAAGAAGGCTGAAAACTATTTACCTCCAGAGGATAACATCAGTTCCTCAGACGAATCTTCGGTGGACAGCAGTGACCACAACCAGTTAGGGACATTGTGGAATAAGAAGAACACAAGCTCATTGAGAAATGTTTACGAATCTGTGGACGACAGGGAGGATTCTGCAGACTATAAACGATTCCTGAATTCTGTTGTAAAGAGTGGTAACAAGAAATGTGATAAAGATGATGATAATAGGAGTCATGATGAGGGTAAATATGGTGGTGATGAAGATGAGCGTGATGGTTGGGATAATGGTGATAAGGTTGGTTTTAGTGGTAACTGCAGTTATGATGTTTGTAGTGGAGGCAATAAGGAAATTGATAATGGCGATGTCGAAGATTATGTTGTTAATGATGATGGTGATAATGATGGTGAGATATTAGCGAACTTAAGCAAGCAACGTTTTCATGGCGACGCCATTTAACCGTGTGAGACTGGACCGAGAACGGCGTTTTGGCGCGAAAAACAAATCATTAAGCAAAACAACTGCAGTTGACGGCGACAGCGACTACACCATGTCATTCAGAAACATCCGTGAAGTTTTAGCATACTCTTACGTTGACGAAATTATTTCAGACGATGAATTTGTGCTTCTATATGATCATTACCGTTCGAAAAATCCAGACTTCAGCTACGAAGACAGCTCCAGGTTTGATTTTGACAAACTAGAAGAGGCTGAATGCAAGGCAGATTTTCGAGTAGAAAAAAGAGATATGCATGTTTTAGCCAATGCCCTGCAGATTCCTCCCTCATTCCAAACGTACCAGAGAAGTGTTTCCGATGGTTTGGAAGGCTTTTGTATGCTGATGAAACGCTTCGCCTATTCATGCAGGTACGGTGATATGATACCGCTATTCGGCAGACCGGTTCCCGAATTATCCATGATAACAAATCATGTTATGAACTACGTTTATGACACTCACTGTCATCGCATAACCGAATGGAACAACAATCTTCTAAGCCCTGATCTATTGGAAGTGTATGCTAGGGCCATTCATCAAAAAGGTGCTCCACTCCAGAATTGTTTTGGATTCATAGATGGAACAGTGCGCCCCATCTGCAGACCCAGACAAAACCAGAGGGTTGTATACAATGGCCACAAAAAGGTGCATGCACTGAAATTTCAATCAGTGGTGGTTCCAAATGGAATGATTGCAAACCTTTATGGACCTGTAGGTGAGTATTTTTATATCCAGAATATTTTTATTATTAAACAATATATATAACACTTGATGTAGTCTATAACAAAATAAGAATACTCTTTGATATTATTTGTACGTATCTGATTGAAAATGTGCTCAATTTTACAAATATCTTATAATTGTTTTTATTACTCTTTGTTTTTATACAATAGAGGGAAAAAGACATGACGCCGGGATGTTGGCCGAATCTGGGCTTTTACAAACCTTAGAAGTAGAAGCGTTCTCAACAAGTGGACAACCAATGTGCTTGTATGGTGATCCAGCATACCCCTTAAGAGTGCACTTACAGGCACCCTTCAGAGAGGCCAACCTAACAAATCGAATGCAGCTATTCAATACCAACATGAGTGCCACAAGAGTATCTGTGGAATGGTTATTTGGAGATATTATCAATTATTTTAAATTCCTAGATTTCAAAAAAAATCTTAAAATTGGGTTGAGTAGCGTTGGCAAGATGTATGTTGTATGTGCTCTACTTAGAAATGCTTTGACATGCATGTATGGCAATCAAACTGCTAAATTCTTTGACTTGCAACCACCTTCTCTACAGGAATATTTTGCTAATTAACTATAAATAATTTTAATCCATTAAGCTGCAGAGCTTCCCCACTAACAATTAAAATTGTCTGGTGTTAGACAAGCTAACAAATAAGTAGGGCGCACTGCATAGGGTGCATTGCGGCTCAATGGGTAAACTATAAACATTGTCAGATTTTTGGCTTACCCATAAAGCTGCAGAGCTTCCCCACTGACAAATAAAATCGTTTGGCGTTAAACAAGTAAAAAAAATAAGTAGGGCGCATTGCGGCTCAATGGGTTAACTAGAGACATTGTGACAAGTAAACTCGTCCGGCCTTAAACAAGTAAAAAATAAATAAGTAGGGAGCACTTGGGGTACATTGCAGCTCAATGGGTTAATATAATTTATGGGCATTGTGCAATTACATTGGGCTCTTGCAAATGACATCACAACACTTGTTGACTCCTGCCATGTTTGGTGGCAATTAACTTACAAAAAAATGATTAAAAACGTTTGTTACGTTGCTTTTGTTTGAGCACTTTCATGAGTTATAATGGTCCACAGCTGTGTAGTAGTCTGTTGAATAAAATATTTTTGCTGCCAAAAATGGCAGATTATTTTTGATACATCATACTGCAAGACCTGAATACACTGTACTCCATGTTTTAACGTGTAATGCATAACTTTAACCATAATTAACTGTCTATTCTGTCTCAGTATATCTTATATACTTCAGAAAAAGGGTTAACGTCTGTTTTCAAATATATAACATAAAAAGGTAACATCAAAAACCTATAAAATTACACAAGTAAAAGATTAGATTCTTCTATTTGTTTGCAAATTTGTCCAGGAGAGTCATGAGGGCCTGATTCTGAATCTGCTGTTGTTGAAACATAGCCTGCATGGTTTGTACATGCTGTTGTTGTTGAAGCTGCTGTTGCTTTTGCTGATCTTGTTGCTGTTGCTGTATAAACATGAGCATGTCCTTTTGCATTTTACTTTGCTGTTCCAACAACAAAGCACTGTTTGACTGTTCTTTTTCTCGGAGCTCACATTCCCTCTCTTTTAGTGATAAGTCAGCCTTAGCTTTTTCCTTTAAAAATTCTATGGCATCACTTGTGCTCCTTCTTCTTTTTTTCAATGATCCCTCTGCTCCATTGTCCTCATTCCTTTTTTTGTTTCGCCTACAGTCTCCATGGCTTTTTTTCTCATTTCCTCGGCTGTAACTTTATCTTGTTCTGCTTTCTTCCTCTTTGATTCACATGGAGGATTATGCATCCATTCTTCCTCTTTATCACAAATTTCCTCTAACATTGAGCTAAGTTCATCATCATCCGGGCTGATGCCACTTGCTAGATCTTCTTCTCTGACTTTAGCTTTGTATCTATTGATTAGTAGATTAAGACGATCTCTTAATGACCTCTTGGATACATGGAACTTTGGACTTTCCAATTTGTTAAGATTTTCTGCTATTTCATCCCATACTTTTCCTCTTTCAGGACTTCCGTTTCGGGTCTCATACAGACTGGAAACCAAAACTTCTCTTGCAAATAGTATATCATGTGAGTCACTCCATTTCATAGGCCTGTAAAAGATATATTTAAATGCCCTCAATTCAAAATGGTGTGATGAAATATATTGATAAATTAAGTAATAATATAATATTTCCTGAAACAGGGGAATTTTTTATTAATTTGCTTTCTAAGTCTTTTGCACTTCATATTATATAGTACAAACAATGCAGTAATATTGACATTAGTCATTAAATGGATTTGTGAAAGACCCTTGAGACTTCCACAAATCCAACTACTGTACTAGACTTTTGGCAAATTTATTCACTTGTAATTTATTTTCATGTTAGAACCGTTCTTCGACAGTATCCCTTGTAATAACGTTTTATTTTGGTTAGAGACCCTATGAAATTCTTCTGCTTTTAGCCTCCCTATTTTTCCTACAGATGATAAATTAATAACATGCTATAAACATTTCCATTTAAAAATATATAATAGGTTTATGTGCAAATAATATACAGTATAAATAAAAATATATAATTCTATCATTAAACAAATCTTTGCTTTTAAGTTTTTATATAGTAGGCCTATATGTACACAAAATAGTTATTTCTTACAATTGGCATCAACAGTAATCAGCATAAAACGAAGCAACTTGACATTATTATAAGTAAACCTCACTAAGGGTAAACTAATGAAAAGTGTACAGTTGAATCAAAACAATGAAGTGTTTTTGGAAGATTCTACCACGACTTTATAATGCTATAGAACCCCATAAGACATAACATGAACTCAAACTGACAAACAATTGAATAATACAAGTAGAATGGCTATCTTAACGTCTATTATTTGGAACACTGTCGTAAATTTTATATGAGAAAACAATTTATTTAAATTACTTACTGTGATGTTGTTATAGTCGAGGTACTAGTCATCATTCCCACCTGAACAAAGACAAACTTTGGTCTAAATTTCCGATGCTAATCGAAATACTATGGTAAACAATCAGGGATTAACTAGAAATAAATTTCATTTCAAAAATTTAATGATAAATAAGTTTAAAATGGCTGTATTTACTCACGTTTTCGCCACAACGCCAAAACAGAGTTTCTCACATCGCTGCCGTGACGCTGACCGTGAGAGAATTGGATTTGCCATTCGCAGTAAGACTCGTCCCAGTCCAAATCGAGAGCTGCCGTCGCCGTCGCCATGAAAATGTCGCTTGCTTAAGTTCGCTATTAGGTGGTGACGACAGTAATGCTAATGAATTTGGTAGTGGAGTTAGTGGTGATAAGGGTGGTTATGGAGGCAATGAAAAGAGAGGTTCTGTTGATGGTGAAGGTGATAATGATGATGGTGAAGGTGATGATCGTGAAGGTGATGATGGTGAAGGTGATGATGGTGACACTGCAGCTGCCAATCTTCCATCGAATGTTGATGACATGGTCTTGTTGAGCAATTTTAAGGATTGGCTATCTGGTCCAGATGGTGGAAGAAAATATGCTAAATGTGCCCAGCAAAGTATGCGACAGGTTGAGATGGTCATGGGTTATATCAGCCCAACTGCTCCATCAATATCAAGCCTGTTGCATAAGGTGGTGTTGAGAGACAAGTGGCTTACCACATTCGAGAAGGAGAAGAAACCTGGCACGGTGAAGTCCTACCTTGGGACCCTCAACAACTTTTATGTCAGCATAAATTTAAAGAGCTGGGTGTTAGTGAGGCTCAAGTGGTCAGCCTCTCTGAGCAAGTAAAGATATGGGCCAAGTCTTCTCGGAAAATGTCCCAGGATCGTTTTTGGGAAAAACGGCTGGAAGACATTGATTCATTAAAAATGCCTGAACAAATTAAACAGTTTGATACGTCAGAAGTTGCACGAAAGGCAGTGAAGATACTAGGTGAATTTCAGATAAACCCAGAGATTCCGATGTTGTCAAAGGCAGAATACACGATTGTGCGGGATTACTTGATGACGCAAATTTGCATCAACAATGGCAGTAGATCTGGCCCCATTGCCAACATGACGTTGGCGGAATTTAATAATGCGACAAAACAAGACGATTGCATTGTCGTACATGTTAAGAAACACAAGACATTTACTACGCACAGACCAGCGCACATTGTCTTGTCCTCTTCGCTTTGTGAATATGTGAAAATTTTTATTGAACGATTCAGAAATGCCCTACCAGAAGTCCTTTGTTCATCCCAATCCATCGTCTTTTTACGTTTTACAGGCACAGCACTGGATTCTTCACAATTCGGTGCCCAAATTGGCTCATGTTGGGGCAAGGTTTTCGGGAAGGAAGCTTCCATGGGTGGGGCAACTGCTTTTAGAAAGGCTGCAGTTTCCACTGTCCATGAGTCGAATGAAGAGATGCGGGGTGATCCTGCTGACCTCATGGTCCACAACCAGGCGACAGCAACCAAGTACTATTTGTTAAAAAATAAAGGAAAGTCTGCTGTCAAAACCTCCAAGGAACTGTCTTGCATTATGCGTGACCTGACTGAGACAGAAGCAAGCAATGAAATTGAAAAGGGTGAAGAGCAGCAACCGCCTAACAAACAGATCCATATATCTGGCGATGTCATTTGCCATAGGCACAAGTGGTCAATTGATGAAGAAAAGGCTGTAAAAGATATTTTTGGTAGCCAAATTCAACAGAAAAAAAATATCTTTAGACGATATCAGAAATGTTGCAAAAGACCACCCTGTGCTGAAGAACATTGCTGCTTAAAAAATCAGGGACAAGGTACGAACGTATTTTAAAGACTCGTCAAGCGGTGACTCGCCTTTGCCACCACACGAAGAGGAGAAAAAATGAAACGTTTTGGTGTACCAGACACTACAGGTAAGTTATCGCAAATAGAAATCAGTGCCGTAGCCAGGATGATAATTGGGGGGGGGGGGACACATATTCATATATTTGTGTTCACATACCATAAGAACAATTGATTTCAAAAGAAATTAATAAAGCAGAACATGAATATGTGCCCCCCCCCGGGCAATTATCGTTCTGGCTACGGCACTGGAAATAATTATTTTCTCTTACCAACAATTATTGTTTTGTTCTTGTTTCCAGTTATCATGTGATAGTCTGGATTTTACTGTATTTTATTTTCTAGTGTTTTGTTTGGGATTAGAAATTATTCGACTTAACCCATAGCACAACATTTTCCACCAACAAATTAACCTGTCTGGCATTAAAGTAAATTATACAGGGTGTATAAAAAAACTTTATCGAACTTCAGCGTGCGACTGTACGCGAATTACTCAACGTACAGTACAGTATGAACAAATGTTTTTCCAACCTCGTTCCCAGGCTCTTTGCTCTTGGGAAGCAAAGACCCCAGCTGGGGCTGGTCACGTGGTACACAGAAATTTGATCACCTAAGGGGGAGTAGGCAAAGTATCAAATTACATGCTTCCACATGGTATGCCATTTTACTCGCTTTGCCATGTTGGACTACTTTGCTTTTTTGTCATGTCTAGAGTTTGCGGTTTTAAATAGTTTGTACGAAGATAAGATTCTAAAACCGAAGCAAGTTCTTTGCCTAGAAAGTGTCTATTTAAAAAATGATGTGGTGTGTGTTTTGCCAACGGGCTATGGCAAGTCTTTAATTTTTCATCTTCTGCCAATGTTGTTGTTTGCAAAATACAATTTGTGCGACGATGTGTTTCAAATTTGGAGACGAGCTTGGAGAAGTTCGAAAGATATTTCTACGGCAGGGGTTAACTCCATCATAATTGTGGTATCACCGTTAAATTCGTTGATGAGTGACCAAATATATCGTTGAAGCGAGTCGACCGGCATCCAAGCATCAATTATCGATGTGAAGGAATTGAAAAGAGAAGATAAGGATAGTTCTGACGAGAATATGGACGATGACAATTGTTTTAATGTTGACATTGATTTCCGCTTGTGCGAAAAGAGAAAGCTACGTGATGGTCGTTACCACATTGTTTTTGCGCATCCTGAAACTCTCATCTCGAGCAAATATGGATGGGAGTTGTTGCTCAGCCAGCAGTACCAGGAAAATGTTGTTGGAATTGTTATAGATGAAGCGCATTGTATACTGGACTGGTTAGTATCAGCATTTTTATTTTAAAATATATTAATATACTAATACAGTATATGGCAAATCGTGGTATATGGTATCATATTGCTGATAAAGGCGATAATGCTGAAAAAATAACAATGGTGGCTGTGTAAACACGTAATGATAGCTTATACTTGTAAATATTGAAATATTTTGGTTGTTTCGGCAGTTTTTATTAAATTTTTCAGCATAATCAGCAGTATGATACCTTACTTCCCGTCACCCCCTGCACACATAAATTAAAAGCTGGAATTGCCTATAACCATCACTTGCAACTATTAATGATGAATGGTCGTTAATAAAACATTGTCTATTCTCATGGCAAAGTTCAATGTTTGTGATGGTTTCAATTCGCCCAGCCAATTAGCTTGGAGCTGGTTGGATGTGGTAGGCTGATCCCTACTTTATTATTTTTCTCTGTATAATGCCTGATTATTTTACTCTATCTAAAAATGCCAAATGATTTTACTTGTCAAGGGGAGAGTGCTGGTGCTTAATGGGTAGCCTGCGTAGCGGGTGCTTTATTTTATTGAAAGTATTGAGGATTTTTGAATAAATGGTAGGTTAGAAAAAATGGGCGAAGAAAAAAATGGTCGAGAAAAAAACGAGTGAAGAGAAATAATAAACTGTAATTTATTCGAAAATCATCAAAACCTTCAATAGAATAAATGGTTAAAACTGTTTTTATTTAATTGCAGGGGACTTGATTTTAGAACAGATTATGCTAAATTGGGGGTCATATGTGCAATGTTTCCAGACGTGTCTGTTCTGGCAATGACAGCAACTGCAAGTGGAACTGATATTAAATGTATACAGGACTCGCTGGGCTTGAAAAATTGCAAGTGCATCGTTGCCAATCCTGATAGAAAGAATATTTTCTACCAAAAGATTTTTAGAACTGGACAAGATGTGGATGCGATTCAATCAATTTTGGTACCAATTGCCAGGTCCCTCTGACAGGAAAAGATTGACTATCCACTAACTATTATTTACATTTCTTTGAGAATATGTGGATTTGCATACAAACTATTCGAGCATATTCTTGGTGATGAGCAGTACTTTCCTCTTGGTTCTGATTCAATCCCATCCAACAGGTTGTTTGCACAGTTCCATGCTCCGCAGACCAGACAGATGAAGGAAGAAATCCTGAAACAACTGTGTTCCAAGGAAGGTATTGTTCATGTTGTTTTTGCGACAGTGGCTATAGGGATGGGTGTTGACATTCGAGACATCCGCCAAATTATACATATTGGACCACCAAGTTCAGTGAAGGCATACTTCCAAGAGACTGGACGTGCTGGCAGAGATGGCAAGCCCTCAACTGCGTTGTTATATTACAACAACAGAGATATAGCCAAGAACAGAGTTGGAATGCAGGATGACATGCAGGCCTATTGTGCAAGTAACAATACGTGTCTCAGGAAATTATTATTGAAGTCATTAGATTACAAACAGGATATTGTTTTTAAGCCATTACACCTTTGTTGTCTGTGAGAAAGACTGTGATTGTCCCATGTGCTTACAGCTTCTCATGGAAAAACTTTAGGTACTACAGCTTTAATTAATAGACCTACTGCTTTAATTAATAGACCTTTTTAAAAAGTCTGCCTTCTACCCTGTTGGCTGGCTTGCCCGATCGGCCAAATGATCATATTTATCCACAAATACTGTATGTCACAAGGCAGACTTTTTCTAAAGGTCTATTACAGTTAAATTGTGTCCACACAAATTATTTGACAATTCTGGTCCATTTTTTTTGTTAGAGCATAACGTCACTCATCAGGGATCCTATGTCTACACAATATCTATAAAAATATTTGCTAATAATTTTTACATGATCCAGACCTCTCAACTTTGCAGAGAAGTTGAGAGTGAGATTGGGGATGTGGATGACACCGGAAGGAAAATTATTAATTTTTTCCGGAAAAATTATTTCAGCGACCTCCCCCCCCCCCTCGCCAAAAAATTTTCGGTCAGTGTACCATTTTAGGGGTCCAAAAATTTTTCCGGACATAACAAAATTTTTATGCGTTACATTTAAAAACGAAAGATAAATGAAACTGACTTTATTTCCACAATAGGCAAATTTGACTTTGTTTCACTAGTAGAAACTTGGTTATCTTATGATAACAGTGATCTGAATATTGATGGTTTTACTCATTCTCAAAATGTAGAAAAATGCCAGATAATGGATTCAGAAACTCAGGCGGAATAACAATTTTAGTGAAGTCGTCTCTTCGTAAAGGTGTCAAATTTCTTGACAAAGAAAGTTGCGAAGAATTCGTTTGGTGGAAATTAGATAAGGTTTTTTTTAACTTAACACATGATTTATTCATTTGCTCAGTGTATATTCCTCCACAAAATTCTCCTAGGGAAAAAAGATTAAAGATAAATCACTATGAAACCCTTCAAAATGACATAAATAAATTTGCTAGCCTTGGTGAGATAATTTTATGTGGTGATTTCAATGCAAGATCAGGTCATTTAGAGGATTCTATTAATGATTTTCATCTATATAATAACTCCTCTTCTCCAGTTGATCATCGAAACTCTCAAGACTCCCACATAAATGTATATGGAAGATCTTTAGCTGAATTGTGTTGTGGGAACTCATTAATTACTTTAAATGGAAGGTCTAAAGGAGATTTTGTTGGAAAATTTACATGTCATACATATAATGGATCGAGTGTTGTGGATTATACTATTGTATCTCAAAATCTTTTTTCTTCATTGAGTCACTTCTCCGTTTCTTCCCTTACGGAATTCTCTCACCATTCTTTCTTATCATTTGCTTTAAAGGCAGAAACCCCTGATTTATCTGGTGATTCTAGTATTGAATTAACATCACACCCTATAGCCTTCAAATGGAACGAACAGTGTAGGGAAGTGTTGCTTGATATTTTTAACTCTGACGAAGTCAATGATCATTTAGACACTTTACTCCATCCTTCAAACGATAATGATTTAGACATCAACTCCTTAGTTAACGACTTCACAGAAATTATTACCAAAGCATCTAGAAAATGTATTCCTCTCAAGAAACAGAAAAAAAATCTAGTAAAACGAGAGTAACACAAAAACAGAAATGGTTTGATAATAATTGCTACCGACTTAAAAGAGAACTACGGAATTTAGGAAAATTAATATCAACACAGCCGAATGACCCCTTTATAAGGCACATGTTCTTTACTAAGAAAAAAGAATATAAAAAATTAATAAGGAAACTCAAAAGAAAGTTTCATAGTGAGACTCTGAATAAAATTAAATCCATAGCAAATAGCAACCCCAAAGAATTTTGGAATCTTGTTAACAAAATCAAATCGAGTCACTCCAATTGTTCTAATACAATATCGCATGATGAATGGTTTCACAATTGCAAGTAAATTTTAAAAAATCAAAAATCTTGATATTTGGAACACAATCGAAAAGACGACTGTTTATTTCATCAAAATGGTACTTTGGTGACAAACAGTTAGAATGTGTAGATGAGTATACATACTTGGGACTAACTTTTCATTACACTGGTAATTTTAAGATAGCTATAGCGTCACTATACAACAAGGCATTGAGAGCCTACTATTGTCTAATGGATAAACTTTCAAACGTAGAGAATATACCGATAAAGACACTACTAAAACTATTTTCTTCAGTGGTGATTCCAGTCTTATTGTACGGTTGTGAAATCTGGGGAGTGTGTTTATTGGGAAGAATCTCCTCATATGAACTTTTTCAAAAGAAATTGTTTAGCATCGTAAATAAACTGGAGTCATTACAGCTGAAATTTTTTAAACGTATTCTTGGAGTTCATTCTAAAAGCACAAATCTGGCTATCTATGGGGAACTAGGTAGAGTTCCTTTAATAGTACAGATCTCTACTCTAGCTACAAAATATTGGTTACGTATTAAAACCCCTAGTTATATAAATACTCTGGTGGGTAAAGCAGCACGCTTTAATATTAGATCCAATTCTCAGGCCATTACTTTTATAAACTATATATTAAAAGTAAGTGATTTGAGATCGCTAGACCACATTTATTTAGAACTTGAAAGTTTGAGAAATTTAGGTAAATATATAAAAAATAGACTAGTTGATTACTTTATTAATTACTGGAAAGGTCAATTTCAAGAAAGTCGTTCTAATGGTAAATTAAGAACTCTCGTACAAGTTAAGAATAATTTCAGATTCGAGGAATACCTTCACGTAATTTGTAATGTCAAACATCGTCAGGCAATAACGAAATTACGAATATCTGCACATAAATTACCAGTTGAATCTGGCCGATATAACAAAACCCCCTACAATGAGCGAAAGTGCACGTTATGTCAATCAGACGAAATTGGCGATGAATTTCACTATTTAATGTCATGCCCCAATAACGAATTTGTAAAACTCCGAAATACTTTTGTAACAGATATATGCAAAATCAACTCATCCTTCCGTTCAATTGATACAAAAAACTTATTTCTATATATACTAAATGTACGTGATAAGTCTATCATGAAAATAATTTCAATGTACTTTCATGATACTCTCGCAATGTACGATAGTCTTTTGTAGAATTTCTAGCTTTAATATTATAATACCCAATAGTTTATTAGATTTTATATTATATTATATATTAGAGTTAATCAATATTAGTACGCATGTCGCACTCCTAACCATGAACTATATGGTACGTACTTTATTGTTTAGTTTACAGTACATTAGGTACTTATATGTAAATGTTTTCATATATGCCTGTTTGGTATTTGTTGTTATTGAAATATATTATTATTATTATTATTTACTAAACGTGGCGTGAGAGAGAGCGTGAGACTGAAGCGAATTGCGTGAGACTCAAGCCGAATGCGTGAGAATTGAGAGGTCTGGCGTGAGAGCGTGAGACTGAAGCGAATTGCGTGAGACTCACGCCGAATGCGTGAGAGTTGAGAGGTCTGCATGATCAAATGATACATGGTCAATGATACATGGTCAATGATCATGTAAAAATTATTAGCAAATTTTCATTTGCTGGGCCAGATAACTATCTGCAAAGCAATGTTTGCAAAGAAGTTGAAAATATTATCCACTGTACGTGTGCTTGTGAAAATATTAATTATGGACCCCTTAGGCCACATAAAAAATTACTTGTGTAGCGTGCTCTCCCGACACGAGAAAAGCCACCAACCTCCAAATACTTTAAATATTTTTTTAAAAACCCTCCACGTTTAGTGGTGATTTTCAATCACAAACTCAATTTCGTTTCCAGAGTACCTGTTCGCAGTTAAGGTGTTGGGCATGACCCTTATGTCCCATATGTTGTATTTTTTCTGTTTTAAAGGCAGTATTAATTAATATTAAAGTTATGACTGTGGTGGTGTGCTGAATATCCAGGATTGTGTTTCTGAAACACCCTTAAGTAGAGTTTGTAGGCAAAATTAGAAAAACCCTCCCGCCCAACCTGGAAAATTGAAATGGGTGGATGTTAAACAAGTAATTTTTTATGTGACCTTAATGTTAGACAATATTCTCATAAAAACACTAGTTTCGTTAAAACTATTCTAATAAGGAAAATTAGACAATAAAAAATTAAACATTAGACTTATTACAACTTGGTGCAAAACAATATCAGTGTTATTTAATTATACTCTAGCCAAAGATCTATCAGGAGTTAAAATAACTTTAATGTGGCAACATGAAAACTTGATGAAAATGTACTGTATGTACAGTACATTCTATTCTTATCCTATCATAGTAATAGTCAGAAAATTTCAAATGAGCAATATTTTGCTCAATAAATACATTTTACATTGATCATTTTGTTGGAATCATTTCTTGTACAATAATATAAATTGACAAATAGCCAAACATTGGCTTACATGTACATCAGTATGTGCATGTCCAAACAATTAATATATAAACTACACTGTTAGCAGTTAGAAAGTACTAACGTTAGATTGCCAAATAGGCATCTTTTGAAACAATGAAGTAGCATTTCTCACAAGCGCAATTTCTCAAATCTCCACATCCGTCATTTTTAGCCACTGCCTTTCTTCTTCCAAAAGCAATATGAAAAACTATGGACCAAACAAAGTGACTGCAAAAGGCTAATTTTAAATTTTGAACCAAATGGTCCAAACTGTATACTCTATTTCAGCAATTGGCATGGTTTTACTAGCCTGTTTTCCAGTCCAATAGCAAACACATGGTGTAATACATTGACATTGACAAGTTGGACACACCCCCAATTGTCTAGGCATAACATGTCATCACGTTTTATATTCGATAAATATATTCATTGTAAGTTCAACGTTAATGGCATAACACTGTTTATTACATGGTGTCAGGAGAAACTACAATCATGGAACATATGAAGCCTATGGGTCCGTTAAAAATGGACGGAAATGTGGCAGAAAACTGGAGGAAATGGAGACAACGCTGGAATCTTTACGCGAAAGCCAGTGGAGCCAACGAAAAAGACGAAGAGATTCAGTGTGCAATTTTCCTTCATACAATCGGAGAAGAAGCATTGGAAATCTATGATACTTTCACCTTTACTGAAACTGAACAAGATAAGATCGAGCCGCTCATTCAGAAATTTGAGAGCTACTGTACACCAAGGAAAAACACGACATACGAGCGATATATATTTAATGCGTGTGTACAAAACGGAAGAAAACTCGATGCATTTATACTTGACCTTCGCAACAAAGCAAAGACCTGTGAATTTGAATCACTACAGGACAGCTTAATTAAAGATAGAATCGTTTGCGGAATCGACAGCAACAGCATCAGAGAGCGTTTGCTCCGAGACAACGACCTCACGTTAGAAAAGGCGATAAGCATCGTTAGAGCCGCAGAAACAAGCAAAACCCAAGTACAAAAGTTAAATAATCCTTCGCTCGAAGTAGAATCAATTCACAAGAATTTTGAAAGAACCTCTCGCAGTAAATACCAGAGGGAAGAAACGAAACCAAGTAGAAATGTCAGCAAAACACAGCCTTGTTCGCGATGTGGCTCAAATCATGCACCAAAACAATGCCCAGCGTTTGGACAAACATGTCGCAAGTGTCACGGAAATAATCATTTCGCCAAAATGTGCCGCTCGAAAAACCTCAACACTCAAATGTCAGAAACACGCGTACACGAAGTTCGAAAAGAAGAAACTACCGATAATTCTAGTGCGGAGGAAGACGAATTGTTTATCGGAGAAATTACGACAACAACGGCCAAAAATGTATTAATTACTAACCTCAAGGTTAACGGCAAAAATGTAAATTTCAAAATAGACATTGGCGCTCAGTGCAATGTGCTACCCGAGGAAATTTTCGACGGAATTAAGCAGAAACCACAGCTCATCGCCACTGGGACAAAACTAACAGCATATGGAGGAGCGCAGGTTCCGGTGAAAGGAAAATGCGTTTTAGAAATCGAGCAAACTGCAGACCGGAAAACGGAAGTCGAGTTCTTTGTTGTCAAGGCTCCCAATGCCAAAGCACTGATTGGGTTACAAACATGTCAGAATCTTGAATTAATTAGCATAAATCAAATCAGTGAAATCCAGGAAAAGAAAGCAGACATCATCGAGGACTACAAAGATGTATTCACTGGTTTGGGTCTCGTCGAAGGAGAATATCACATCGGGTTACAAGAAAATGCCAAAGCAACGATTCAACCACCGCGAAAAGTACCATTAAGTCTGATACCAAAACTGAAAGAAACACTTGATAATCTTACGAAATCAGGAGTTATCAGCAAATTGGATCGACCGACCGATTGGGTTAATAGTCTCGTAATCGTAGAAAAGAAAGATGGATCACTGAGACTGTGTTTAGACCCGAAAGATCTTAATAACTGAATAAAAAGAGGACATTACAAAGCACCGTGCGCTGAATCCATCTCAAATCACCTGAGTGGAAAGAAAGTATTCACCGTAATTGACATGTCCAACTGCTACTGGCATAAAAAACTTGATGAAGAGTCATCCTATCTGTGTGCATTCAACACACCATCCGGTCGATACAAGTTCAATCGCATGCCTTTTGGCATATGTTCTGCTTCGGATGTAGCGCAGAAAATGGTAGATGATGAATTTTCTGACATCCCTGGTGCACTATGATGACATCATAGTCTCAGGTGCCAACACAGAGGAGCATGACATAGCTCTAGAGAAAGTCCTACATCGAGCAAGAGAACGAAACATAAAATTCAACAAGAAGAAGATCCAACTACGAGTCACTGAAGTGAAATATCTTGGCAACATCGTTAGTGCTAAAGGATTCACTCCTGATCCTGAGAAGATTAAAGCCATTGTCGAACTGCCTCTACCAAAGAGCAAGCAAGATTTACAACGCCTATTAGGAATGGTGAACTATCTTTCACAGTACATACCAAACATGTCTGAGATCACTGCGCCACTGCGTACCCTTCTCAAAAAAGACATACAATGGTCCTGGCACAACGAACACCAGAAAGCACTCGAAAGAATCAAGAAAGTCCACACAAGCAGCCCAGTTTTGCACTTCTACGACATCGATAAGCTTGTTATCCTCCAAGTTGATGCATCACAAGGTGGACTGGGTGCATGTTTAATTCAGGAAGGACACCCAGTAATTTATGCATCCCGATCACTCACCAATGCTGATCAGCACTATGCTCAGGTAGAGAAAGAGCTGCTCGCAATCGTTTTCGCATGTGAACGTTTCAACCAATTCATTTATGGGACACAAGTCACAGTACACAGCGACCACAAGCCGTTGGAAGCCATCATAGCTAAACCATCATCACAAGCACCACCGCGAATTCAGCGTCTTCTCATCAGACTACAGAAGTATCACCCAACAGTGAAATATGTTCCCGGGAAATTCCTGTTTATCGCCGACACTTTGTCAAGAGCGTACTTACCAGACGAGGGAGAACAACAGGAACTTAATGAGGACATTGAAGTAATGGTGCACAGCATGGTTACAGTAATACCAGCATCTCCTGAGAAAATGGCAGAGCTTAAGGAAGAAACAGCGAATGATGAAACGCTACAACAACTTAAACAGCAGATGGTTCAAGGTTGGGCTGATCGTAAGCATGAAATCCCGCAAAACTTAGCTACCTACTGGAACATTCGCCATGAGCTGAGTGAAGCAGAAGGTCTGATCTTCAAAGACCACCAGTTAGTCATACCTACAGCAATGAGGAGCAATATGCTCAACCTGATACATGAAAGTCATCTCGGGATAGAGAAATGCAAAGCACGCGCAAGAGCAATCCTTTTTTGGCCTGGAATGTCAAAAGATATCTACGAGAAAGTATCAAAATGTGCTACTTGCGCCACATATAGAAGAAGAAACCAGAAGGAACCGATGATAGCACATCCCAATACCTGAACGACCATGGCAAAAGCTAGGAACTGATCTGTGTGAATGTTAAGGCAAGAATTACCTCGTTGTAGTAGATTACTATTCGAAGTTCATCGAAACAGCCCTTCTTCCAAACAAGACAGCAGGAACAGTAATTAGACATTTGAAATCAATTTTTGCAAGACACGGAATCCCAGACGAGTTGGTATCCGACAACATGCCCTTCAATAGCAAAGAGTTTGACGAATTCGCCAAAGAATGGAGATTCAAACAAACAACATCAAGCCCAACCTATGCTCAATCAAATGGCATGAGTGAAAAAGCTGTACAAACCGTAAAACGGATCCTGAAGAAGGCTGACGATCCATACGTTGGTCTGATGGAGTACCGTAACACGCCTGTTACTGGAATGACATACTCCCCATCACAACTGCTGATGAGCCGCACCACAAGAACGAAGATTCCGATGTCCAAAGAGTTACTACTACCAGCAGTGCCAATCAGTGCACAGCAGCAGCTTGAACAACGACAGAACCAGCAGAAACAGAACTACGACAAATCAACCAAACCATTACCACCACTTGAAATTGGAGAAAACATCCACCTACGCCAGGACAGTATCTGGGTACCAGCCACCGTATCTGGACTGGCCCCTGCCCCAAGATCGTATATCGTCACAACATCAGATGGCCAACAATACAGACGGAACCGTCGTGACCTTTTAAAGACCAACATTCCGCCTTCAACCATAATAGAGCAAACTGAGGATGTTGGTGAAGAACAACCGACCATTATTCCACAACCACCAGATTTGGACCTCCGGAATCCACCTAATCAGGGGCGACCAATGAGAACCACAGCGCTACCAATAAAATACAGAGACTATGTCATGAAATGAAATAGATTTAATCAAACTTTCTGAGATACTTTCAACTTATCCTGCCTATAGTAACTGGACTATTATTACCTATAGATAAACACGGACACGATTATTCGAACAGTTCATATTAAAGTTATATTAATATTTTGTTAGTTTAAGAAGGGGGATGTAATACATTGACATTGACAAGTTGGACACCCCCCCAATTGTCTAGACATAACATGTCATCACTTTTATATTCGATAAATATATTGATTGTAAGTTCAACGTTAATGGCGTAACACTGTTTATTACAGTATAAGCCCATCAAAAATCGCTTGCCGAAAAATATAAGCCCAGGGCTTATAGTCGGAGGTTTACGGTGTTTTGTTCTTAATGCTTAATACCTCAATGGCCTTGGCAATGTTCCTCGAGCATATTCGGCTGGGAAGGAATGGTCAAACTCTGCCAATCGGTGAACTATAGAACACAAGCTAGATCGATTGTTGTAACATATTGTAATAATGAGAGATTGAGAATGCACAAACGGGCCGGGGTTGCATGGTGATCCATGATTTCATGATAATATATAAAACTTGACAAAACCATGCAACTCTCTAGCCTGTGTGTCAGTAACAGTGTAGTCAACTGGAACACAGGCTATAGTAACACTATACGTACTACTATGTACTTACTGTAATTTTAGATGTTACAAAATATATTTTTATATACAGTTCGTAATATTGTTTGATTATAGCGTACTTGGATGATTAAATTTAAGCGAATTTTCTTGCTAGATATTTTCGCCAGAGCATTTTTGTCAGTAAAATAATAACAATCTGGCGAAGAACTTTACTGGGTCGAATAGCCAGTATTTGTTTCGGAATTTTGAGTATATGATATTGATTAAACCAAGCTAGTGCGGTGCATTTCGATCATTCGATGTTTTTTTCTGTAATATGCTACTTCAACTTTTCTCACGGCTGTGAGCGCAATTGATCTTAACGTCAAGAACCCCAAAACTCAGTAAATTGTTTGTACTATAGAGTTATTTAGGCCGTATATATAGTACCGACTATTCACAAACGAATGTCGGTTATGAAAAGTAGCCTAGTAGCAATAAATATTAGCGAGTAAACTGGAAACTAAAACAGAAATGAATAAAAGTAAAGCACGTACATGTAGGTAGTGGTATATAGCCTAAATCTAAATGCACAAAATCCTTGTAACCGTATAAAATAGATGGGTTTAGAAGACTGTCAAATGTAACAAACAAGTATTTAATGGGATTAAAATATGCATGCTAAAGAACATTAACACCGCATTGGAAAGATCTTAAAATTGCAGCTGAGAAGAATTTAAAAATCTTGGGCTCCATGAAATTTGTTCGGGAATACCTTGCATTACAGTCTTCCAAAAAGATCTAGCTACCAAAATAGGAAGTAGTGTGTAAAGCCAACCTCTTTCATTTTCAATTGCAAAAAGTATACAATAACTTTTATGTGACTGCACAGCAAAAATGAGAATTCTTACCTAGAAAAAAATCCTTTGCAAAATTCTTATTTTAAGCAATATTTTGCTTATTTTAAACTTCAACTATACTTTAAATCAATTTCCACACTTCTCGCACAGATATATTGCTTTTCAATTGACCTGTCAAAATACGGAGCTGTGTGTGTGTTCATTTCTAAATATTTAAAGCATTTTAGATTTAAAAGGCTTCCATGCATTTCTCAAGAATGCTCTGACTAGAGCTTCTGTTAGGAACGCCCAGACTGAGTGTATTTATTTGGCATTATAAAGCTGGTTAGGGATTGGTTATATTCATAAAACTAATATCATTCGCAAAGGTTTAATTAAATTGATTGGCTACACGTGGACCTGTCAGTTGCATGCCTTTCATAATTTTGGTTGGAAGTTGATTCTAAGTAGATCCTATATTTTGTTGTATGCACGAGAAATGCCACCTGCGAATTAGGAACAACCTTTTCGAACATTTAGAAATAGTTGTAAAACAATGCTGGGATTTTCACAGGTGAATTCAGTTTCTCTTTGCGTGTAATTATCCATCTGACTAAAGCCCATTTTTCACTATATAGGTGAATTTTTTCGCGGGGACAGTAAAAAGTGGGAACCGAAACAACTTTTTCGTGGCGAATTTTTTCGCTGACCGATCACTTTGGCACGATTTGTTTGGTGGAAAATGAGCTTAAGGGCTTAATTTAACTCGGCATTTTGACTATAGTATATGTATATTTCCGATTATAATTAATATGACCTAAACTACGTTAGACAGGTATACCTGATCTTGTGGAATACTCTCATGCTGTGTATTAATTAGATGTTGTATATGTACGTAGGCCTAATAGCATAATCTTTCCCTCTGTAACTTAATTTACTTTCCTCACAAGAAAGGTAACATAGGCCTATATATTATCGAGTGAACTAGAATCTGCCATGCAAAATGAAAAATAAAGCAGATGCAGTAGAGAGAATTAAGTAGAACAACATACATAAAAATAACACGGCATCGGATTTGTCATAGGCTTAGCTATAATACAGATCTACAAGACTGCCAAGTCTAACACGAAATAATTTAACGGCATTAGAATGCATCAAGATAAGTTAGAATGTATCAATAGGTGATTGCATCTATAGACTAAATTATGATCAAGGCAGGAAGAACGAAATCCAAGTATCCAACACCACAACTGGAAAGTGCATGTACGAATGACGTAAAACTGCAAATATATTGGTTGATAAATGTTGTAAAATGAAGAAAATATAGCCTTGTGAAGTTCGCAAATTTTGTATAAATTTGTATTACGCGCAGTAAAAATAACAACTTACGGCTCAAAAATGCTTATTTTTCCCGCGCGTAATGCAAATATAGCCTAGAGAAAATTATATATATATATATATATATATATATATATATATATATATATATATATATATATATATATATATATATATATATATATATATATATATATATATATATATATATATATATATATATATATATATATATATACATATATACATATATACATATATACATATATACATATATACAGATATACATATATACATATATACATATATACATATATACATATACACATATACACATATATATATATATACACATATATACATATATACATATATACATAGTGAAATGTTGCTGATAACAAGATACAAGTGTTGTATATAAAAAAGGTTTCAATGTGCAACCAAAAGAGACATTTATAACGTAAAATAAAATAAAAGCCACTCAAATTTTGCACAAACGTTTTCGCTTTAATGTTAGCTCCTCAGGTGCATATTTACAATGAGTGGAATTTAGTTTATCTATTATCTACGTTCTATGATATCATATTATAATAACTATGTTAGGAATGCATATATTTACATGGTGTGAAGTCACCCGTTAAAAACATTCTATTGATCTAAATGTAAGCATAAACTTAATGGTTTTTTAATTAGCGTTCAGATCCGGATTCAGTATATTGATAAGTTCTTTTTCTTTCATCTCCCTAAAAAGTCTGTCCGTGTTAATGCATTGATATACAGGCATTATTTTGAAAATTCCGTTGTTACACATATTTAAGTGTTCGCTTACTTTTAGATGTCTATACTCTTCGTGTCGAATTTGTTCCTTGTGCAATGTCACTCTTTTCCGTAAGTTTTCTGTCTGGCCGACGTAGAAGCTGTCGCATTTTGAGCAAATGATCACGTAAATGACATATCTCGCTTTGCAGTTCATCGTTGAATTGACTTTCCAGGTTTTTCCGCTCTTTAATGTAACAGACTTTCCTGTGATTAAAACATCGCATGTTCCACATCGCTTTTCCTCGCATTTTGTTACACAGTGTTCTCTGTCCTCTGAATTAAATTGTGCTTTTGTCAAGTATCGCTTCAAGTTCTTCGGTTGGCGTTTGCTTACAATGAGTTCTGTTCTGTCTAATACTCGTTTCATTCTCTCGGAATTGTTTAGAAATTTAAAGTTCTCCCTTATTTTTCCAATTACTTGAGGATTGTTGGGATTATGAGTTATTACTAAAGGCAAGACATTGTCATCAGTTTTATGTTTTGGTGCCCTCAATTCCTCAATGTTTTTTGATGAAGCCTTCTGTATTCCGTTTTTTATAAGCAATTTCAGATAGTTCTGCTTTTGTAGGAAATATTCTAGTTCATCAAGACGCTTCTTCTTTAAATCTTGATTTGTTACAATTGCACAGATCCGTCTTGCCAGTGTGTAGGGAATGTTTGATTTTGTATGTCCAGGATGACATGAATGATAATCCAGATATTGGTGTGTGTCCGTTTGTTTGTAATGTATATCACTTTCTAACCGTTCCGCGTTCTTGTAGAGTAGTATATCCAGAAACGGTAGTTTCTTATTGTCATATTCCATCGTGAACTGTATTTTTGGATGAAGTGAATTTAACATTTTATGAAGTTCCTCGAGTTCTGCTTCTGTCTTCTGCCAGGGTAGAAAGCAGTCGTCTAAGAAACGTTTAAACAATTTTACGAAGTTTTCTTTTTCGTCCTGTCCATACTTTTCCTTGAACCTTTCGTACAGTTGTGTCTCAATGAAACCCATAGTTAATGTGGCGTACGTTGGTGCCATTTTAGTGCCCATTGCTGTTCCTTGTATTTGTTTATAATTAATGTCATCAAATTGAAATGTATTCTCCTTTAGGACAATTGAAATGGCCTCCAAAATAAATTCTTTAGGGAACGGTCGTGGCAATGATTCACGGTGTTTGTCCAACCAATGTTCGATGGCTGTGAGTCCAAGATCATGTGGGATACTTGTATACAAGCTGATGACGTCGAATGATACCAATATCGTTTTCTCGTTTATATTTGTAGGTATTTTGTTCAGAAAATCCATACTGTCCCGTATAAAACTTGGTACATGTTGGCATAATGGTTTTAAAATCAAATCGACAAAATTGCTTAGTCTATGTGTGGGCGATATAGGTCCAGCTACTATAGGTCTCATCTTTAAGTCCGCTGGTGGTTCCAGTTTGATATAATCATTGTTTTGCTCGGTGACAGCATCTGTTATGGTTTTTGATTTGTGTATTTTCGGTAATCCATAGAAATTTGATGTTTTCATTAGGAAATTTGTGATGTACTCTTTCTCGTTCTCAGTGATGAAGTTTCCAAAGTTTTTAATAAGTCTATTAATCTTTCGTAAAATGGCTTCGTCCTCGTTTTGCGATAATTGTATGTAATTCTCTGTGTCGGAAAGGAGGTATAGCATTTTGTCTCTATAATAAGATTTATCCATTACCACCGTTGCTCCCCCTTTATCTGCTTGTTTGATTATGATTGTGCTGTCGTTTTTAAGGTCTTGAAGAGCTTTCTGTTCTGCTGTAGATATGTTACATTTCCTAGTTCTCTTCTGGGATTGTTGTTCAAGTTTTGACAAGTCGCTAAGAAATAACGTGAGATGTTCGTCCTCTGATCTTGGTGGAACAAAATTAGATTTGTTTTTAGCAAGTGAATTGTCTATGTTCTGCTCTTTATTGTTAAAATATTCTGCTAGGCGTAATTTCCGACTGAATTCGTGGATATCCACTTTCAGTTTTGTTATATTTTGTGGTGGAGTTGGAGTGAATTTTAAACCTCGCTTAAGTAGCCGTATTTCATTTACCGTCAGATCTCTTGACGAAATGTTAATAATTTTTGGTTCTGTCAACGGTGGTTGGTCATGTGCGGTTGTCGTAGTCGTTCCCTGGGATGGTAGAGTGATCTCTCTGGAGGATATCTCTTGATGGGATGTTGTTCTAAAAAAGAAGTGTTCCTTGGGATTCTTTCGTAATCATCAACGATGTAGGTACTTCCTTGCTGTGGATTATATCTTGGAGGAATTCTCGCGACCTCAGCATATGTCATTTGGTGATGCAGTGACGACGAGGAATGATGATTGCGTGTGTTGTTGTGCTGGAATCGGTTTTGTCCTTCTCTCTCCTTATTAATTGCGGTTACGTTGTATCTGGGTCAATTGTGGGCAAATTTTGCAGACTTTCTCTCATCGGGACGGTTGTTCTGGAATTGTTTGGGATTCATTCTCCTACGGTTTAGCTGTTTACTTATGCTTTGTAAATGCGTATTGTCGGTCATACCGCGTCGATCTTGTTGTCGCGAATCTCCCGTTGGTTTGCTCTCGTTGTACTTCCTTGGGGGTTTCAGGAAGCTCTCATGTTTAAATTCAGCTTCATACTTCTCGAGCCAAATTTGCTTGGATTCCCATTTCTTTAAGGATTTGGATTCTTCATGCGTAACATCTTCGTGCCATAGATTCTTCAATTCTGTAAGGGTATGACCAGTAAAACGGTCTTCAAGGAATTTTTTCATTTCTTCCTCCGTCTGCTTGCATTTTGATTTATGTCGTTCGGCTCGGACGTTCAGGAGAGCGATCTCGTTTCGGAAATTTTCGACGGCAGAATTTTGTCGTATTCTTGTTTCGTTGATATCCTCGTTCGCAATGGATTTGATAAGAAATTTTCTGGGCAATATTTTCTTACACACTGGCAAGACGGATCTGTGCAATTGTAACAAATCAAGATTTAAAGAAGAAGCGTCTTGATGAACTAGAATATTTCCTACAAAAGCAGAACTATCCGAAATTGCTTATAAAAAACGGAATACAGAAGGCTTCATCAAAGAACATTGAGGAATTGAGGGCACCAAAACATAAAACTGATCACAATGTCTTGCCTTTAGTAATAACTCATAATCCCAACAATCTTGAAGTAATTGGAAAAATAAGGGAGAACTTTAAATTTCTAAACAATTCCAAGAAAATGAAACGAGTATTAGACAAAACAAAACTCATTGTAAGCAAACGTCAACCGAAGAACTTGAAGCGATACTTGACAAAAGCACAATTCAATTCAGAGGACAGAGAACACTGTGTAACAAAATGCGAGGAAAAGTGATGTGGAACATGCGATGTTTTAATCACACGAAAGTCTGTTACATTAAAGAGCGGAAAAACCTGGAAAGTCAATTCAACGATGAACTGCAAAGCGAGATATGTCATTTACGTGATCATTTGCTCAAAATGCGACAGCTTCTACGTCGGCCAGACAGAAAACTTACGAAAAACGGAGTGACATTGCACAAGGAACAAATTCGACACGAAGAGTATAGACATCTAAAAGTAAGCGAACACTTAAATATGTGTAACAACGGAATTTTCAAAATAATGCCTATATATCAATGCATTAACACGGACAGACTTTTTAGGGAGATGAAAGAAAAAGAACTTATCAATATACTGAATCCGGATCTGAACGCTAATTAAAAAACCATTAAGTTTATGCTTACATTTAGATCAATAGAATGTTTTTAACGGGTGACTTCACACCATGTAAATATATGCATTCCTAACATAGTTATTATAATATGATATCATAGAACGTAGTTAATAGATAAACTAAATTCCACTCATTGTAAATATGCACCTGAGGAGCTAACATTAAAGCGAAAACGTTTGTCCAAAATTTGAGTGGCTTTTATTCTATTTTACGTTATAAATGTCTCTTTTGGTTGCACATTGAAACCTTTTCTATATATATATATATATATATATATATATATATATATATATATATATATATATATATATATATATATATATATATATATATATATATATATATATATATATTTATAAAATAACATGTATATAACGCGTATTCTGATTGGCCGAAAGCCGTGTTTGGATCAGGCCATCCAAACACGGAAGACTACCGTGTTGTTGTTATTTTATAAAACAATTACTTTATGGTTTCCGTGTTTGGATGGACTGATCCAAACACTTGGGAATGTTGCTCGAGTTAAGAAAAGCGGGCAAAATCACTCGCCTTCGGCTCGTGATTTCGCTCGCTTTTCTTAACTCTCGCTTTTCTTAACTCTCGCAACATTCCCGCGTGTTTGGATCAGGCCATCCAAACACGGAAACCATAAAGTAATTGTATAATATATATATATATATATATATATATATATATATATATATATATATATATATATATATATATATATATATATATATACGAGTAGGTTTGTGTATACGAAACGCAAAGAGTGCTCAATATCATAAAGATAGAGCAAATGTAGAATTTGGCTTACCTCAAAATTCCGCAACAGTCTGTTTCATCAGTAAAGAATCATCAGGCGGTATATATATATATATATATATATATATATATATATATATATATATATATATATATATATATATATATATATATATATATATATATATATAGCTTAAGATTTATGTTTAAAAATTTTGTATTTTAATTGAAAGAAAACCAAAACTGTTTACTCAATAAAAGAATGGAAATTATATCTACGTGCAGACATAGGAAGAAATTTCGCGTAAACAACGCAAACAATACACTCCCACAATTCGATTAGGCATTTCCGCGTAAACAACGCAAACAATAGATGAATGCATGCTTTGTTTCACCCACACACCCCCACGTTCCGGCCAAAACATATATAAGCAGCCCTATTTTTCGAAACTTGTCATACCGCCTGATGATTCTTTACTGATGAAACAGACTGTTGCGGAATTTTGAGGTAAGCGAAATTATATATATATATATATATATATATATATATATATATATATATATATATATATATATATATATATATATATATATATATATATATATATATATATATATATATATATTTAGAATAATATATGAGTAGAGTGCTCGATATACCGAAGTATAGAGCTAATAGATAAAGATAAAATAAACCTGGTTTACTTCATAAGATTTATTCACTACAAACTTGTTTCGTATGACAAGCAATGCTTGCCACACTCATCAGGTGAATTTAAATGTTGCGCTATGTTGTAGCATTGCTTGTCATACGGAACAAGTTTGTAGTGAATAAATCTTATGAAGTAAACCAGGTTTAAAGTGAGTTATCGAGTTAAGAATGGCTTTAAAATTTCGCAGATATGAATAAAACCGACAACACAAAGCAAGTACGGCATGGAATTTTACCACTGAAATGTTTACACTTACCCAAACCGGCAACAACGATTAAATTATCAAAGACATCAATATCAAAACATAAAAAATTTTGATGTTTTGATGTTGATGTCTTTGATAATTTAATCGTTGTTGTATTCAAAACAATTACGACAATTATCATACAAACTTTGTTTCATGGCTGAACAGCCACTATAAATTCATGAAATTACAGGCTTATTTCCAGTTAAAATCGAGAAAAAAAGCGTGTTGTGCTTTTGTAATCATTTTAACGAAATTTAAAACAAACAATTGCTGTAAAACAGCAAAATACATCCTTTCAAAATGAAAAATAATTACTTCGACAGAGTTTGTACTCGCGCATGCGCATAACGTCGAAAACCGGGTCGGCACTAGATCATAGACAAGATACGCACATATCTGAAACTGCAATACATACGAGTCAGCGGTATTTCAAGTGCAGTAAACTTTATATAAACGCAATAAAGACATCATTACATTTACAATAGCGTTGTCCGCAGTAGCTAAAAATAGATTCTCCAAGTGAAGACCCCCCACGAGACTCAGACAAACAAACTAACATTTTGTATAGAATTGTACTAGCAGCGAACATAAATTGGTCTAAATTGACGTTTTTATTTATTTTATCTGTGCTAACACGAATTCAAATTTATCCCAAATTACAAACATGGTTAATGCTAAGCACTGTTGCTGGGGAACATGTCCAAGTGATTCGAGATACTAAGAAAAACTGCCGAAACAGGGAATTGAAAAGTCGGACGGGACGGGAATGTCTGCAGTAGCAATGTGTTGATTGTTATTGACTGCGGACTGTGCTGGTTTTTCTCCAAGAACTTTCGCAGCTAACCATTTTCCCCCGTCAATACATCCAGCGAACGATGCTCTCCCGAACTATTAAAAGCAATCGCTAACTCGCTGAAGAAGAACTTGGCGTTTTATACCGCTTTGCTATAAGCCGGCCTCTACATTTTAACCTCTTCTTAATCGACAGTATAAGCAGATGGATCATGCTCAAAATATGAGTCTGGGACGCCATCGTTTTCAGTGAGAGCGTCTGTTGTTAAATTTATGACTGAGAGAAGCAATAGTTTACCAGACAGTGTTAGGCTATTTAATAATTAACACAGTGTTAAAGTGCGGTTCTCTATTTTACAAAACTGAATATTTAAAAATAGATAAATAAAAATGTTGTTTTTATAATAACATATTTTTGTTGTATTGTCAAAACAAAATAGTTTTACTGGTCAACGGAAGATTTTATATTTGGGATTTTATATAGTTTGTAGTTTATCTTTGACATTTTTTAAAAAAGTTTAAATTTGAAAGTATTAGTTTTAATTACATTCCTAATAAATCCGTATTTTATAAGTTGAATATGTGGTCAATAGATTATAGTAAACAATCCTAGCTTCTTTGGCTTTGGACTTTGCTATTAATAAAAGAGATGTCTAAAGTAATAAATAATGCACACTAAAGCGAGTATTAAAATATAAGTTAGTATAAACATGAAATCAACAACATTAAATAGGGAACTTTAGAACTGATTCGCTAGGGCTACGAATTAAATCTGGTACGACTACGAGATTTTTTCGGTTAAATATCTGCTACTACAGACTTTCTATCGCCCTTTCTTTTGCATACCCTTTCTTTATGGCCTCTTTATAGCAACAGGTACGCCAAACCATGTACTATTAGACACCGCCTATGATAGAAACGACATGACAGTCGATACTAAAGTGACGAAAAACTGTATATTTCTACTTCCAAAGCAAAAATATTTTGCACTGGCACTTCAGGTAAAGCGAAAAGTACAAGGTGTGTATGATTTCGCACAAATAAACCGTAAACAAACATCAAACTATTAAACTAACTCATGGGAAGCTCTTAATCATAATACTATTTATATTAAATGCAGTGCTCTCACAATCAAATTTTCGAATTCCTTAGAAAAAGCTCGAAAATTCCTCAGATTTTCTTAAAATTCCTTAAATTGGTAAAATTACCAGAAGGCCTGATCACACAGTTGCAAAAAGTGTTTTTTTCCTCCTTCTTTCTGCTTTTCAGTTTTTATAACCTTGTTTCTAAGCACTAAAAATTGAAAACATTTGATTGTTAGCGTAATGCCATAAAGAAAACATTCAACATGATGTATTTTTTATCGTTGCTGCATGAAGAGCTTAAAAAATCTGTAGATTTCAGAAGAAACAGCATATACTGACATTTAACTTTTGAGAATTTTAATGAAAAGACCAGTGGCGGACACTTTACGAAATATTGGGGCGGGGGACTCGTGCCAAAGGCACGGAAAATTTTTAAAATTTGAATCCCGGAAATGGCATTTGCTGCGTTCTGAGAACACATTTTGCAAAAACTAGGGTTTCAAAACACTGTTTTAAGTTTTGTTATAAATCACATGCCAAGCCATGTACAAAAACATATACTATTATATTATGATGACAATTACGTTATATGAGTGTGATTTGTGTTATTTGGTACTGGAACCAAATTGGTACTGGAACATAAGAACATTTATGACATAGAGAACATACGAATATTTAACAATTATTCGCCGAAGGCGAGGTGATTATCGATGAATAAAAACCGAGACGAAGTCGAGGTTTTTATTCACGATAATCACCGAGTCTGAGGTGAATAATTGTTTTAGTATAATTTCATAGGTGATTATTTGGAAAAAAAATATAAGAAAATACACATTTCTTTGTCATTTAATTGACAAAAAGGCTTCGGCCGCCATTTTGAAAATCGCTTAGGTGATTATCGCGTAATAATCACCTCAACGGCAACCAATCAGCGTGGAGAATTTTCAATAATCACCTATGTAATTATACTAAATGTAATTATGTGCGAATAATGTTGCTACTTTCAAGTTTAAATCTTATTTGCGTGGCGTGGTTATCCTCCGTCCAACGTTTTTAGTCCTGGATAAAATGTTTCGGAAATTCCTTAAAAAAATCCTCAAAAACCTAAATTCCTTAAAAAAATCCTTAAAACTCTTCAAAATTCCTATTTTTAAGGATAATTCCTTAAAAGTGAGAGCACTGATTAAATGTTGCCAATGTTTGTCTGAGTCTTCGCGGGGGGTCGAATTTTCGTGACGTCAATTGCGGACAACGCTATTGATGCATTACATATAAACAAATCATTACAAATGGAGATTTAAAGATTGTTATATCGATAAATAGGTATGTGTAAAGCGAAATATATATTTACTTTTATTTACTTAGATAGGTTGAAAAAAATTTTCCAGACATAAACCAGTCAAATTAAGGGTCAAAATTTTTTTTCCATACAAATTCCAGTTAAAACATGCTTGAAACCCTTATTTTTTGACCAATATCTGTAAAATTTGGGTCTATAAATCCCTGTAAGTTACTTAATTTAATAACTCTACATTCTATCATTTAAAATCTTTGATTGCCCTGCCAATCCAGATGATTCGCCCTACCAATCCAGATGATTCATACTTTGGGGGGTGTCACCCCCCCCCCCCGTACCCCCCTCAAGTTTCGTCCCTGTGTACATCTAACTTTTGTATGCCTTGATTAAGCCGTCCCTCCCCCTGGGTCCACATAGTCTGAGTGCATATTTTTGGAAATACAACATTTGAATTTTTCTTATATTTTACTAGAAATTATGCACAATAACACAGTAAATTTTTAGTAAAATGTTCAAGGAAAAGGATCTTCCAACAGCAGCAGATGACACAGCAAATCTTTAGTAAAATGTTCAAGGAAAGGATCTTCCAACAGCAGCAGATAACACAATAAATCTTTACTCTGTCTAACGCTACAATCCTGGACAAAAAGTGGCAAAAACTAGTTTATTACTTCAAAATATAATTTTAAGACATGTTTGTCCCAATGATGTCCCCTTCCCCCAATATCAATGTTTGGCCAAGTTATCTGGCCTCGAATACACCCATCAACATTGATATTAGGGGAAGGGGGGTGAAATTCGATGAATTTTCTTATTTTTTACCCTTTTGCCAATAATTTATGTCCAAGATTGTAGATGATTTTACTCATCAAGTGGAGTCTTGCAACTTAATGGGTTAATGAATCAGTTGGTTATTACAACCGATTTCAACTTGCTTCATATTTAACATTCACTTTAACCCATTTATTGACAGCACTCTACCACTGACGAGTAATTAATCGTCTGGCATTAGACAGAGTAAATACTATAAGTAGGTACATTTGGGCACATTCACATTGCCAGTTAATGAGTTAATATTGACAACATTAAAAACAGACTAGGGTGTCAAAGGCTACGTGGATGCTTCTTTGCCTGCAACAAAGCATAAAGTGGGACTGCCACGTGATCAATGTTAGATTTCAGCAATGAAGAGAATCAATATTTT